TTTTTTTTTTTACAGAGGTTTTGGATTTCCATTCATTCATTGCCGCAATTTTCTCCCTTCCCACCCCTCCCCACCAGCTCGCTTCCCCCTCCGCAGAGAGAAAAAAAGAAAAAGAAAAAAAAATTCCTTCATTAGCCCAGCACTTTTTGTGGGTCGCTATGTAGCAAATGGAAGAGCCACAAAAGCCTTGCAATCACTTTCACAGTTTTGGTAAACACAGCCTCAGGAGGGGTAAGGAATACAGTCCCTCAATCAGAAGACAAGATTTAGCCTGGCAGGGGCACAGGAGTGGGGGCATGTAAAAAACACCAGAAAATCCTATTGTACAATCATGAAGCACTGTGCAAATAGTCTGGTGGGGTTGGGAAGCAGCACATCGGTTCACCAGCCACAAAATGGTCAGGACATAGAGCTCAGAGACTATATAAAAGTCTTGATACAACCGTGAAGCCTGAGTACTCCCCCTGTGCTGCAGGAGCTGCTGGTGGCCGCTGAATCAGTTCTGAACCCCGGAGATGCAGGGCATGCAGCACAGAGATGCTCCAGAGGGTTTTCAAGTCTGTGCAAACTTTTGGAAGCAGATTATCATATCTGTCTCCCAAGGCACCTCTGAAACGTGTTTGAGCCACAAACCTTTTTTGCTCATAGTTGAGAGCTTAACCATTTTCATCACACAAGGACTCACAAATTCCTCATCAGAATCCTGAGCCCAACGTACTAATAATGAACTCAAAGGAATAGTCAGCCTTCTTTAAAAAGAGCACAAGTGTGACAATGTACGCAGTCAAAGGAACCAACCAATGCTGGAGATGCAGACACTCCTAATCCATTCTATCTTGCCCAGCAACCCGAGTGAGGTGAGACGCTTCCTGTTGGGTGATGCTGACCTTGCCACTGCCGCCCAGTGCAAGCCACCACCTGCCTGGTAAGGCTTCAGGTAAAGGATAAACACTGTTCCAATCAGGCAATGTCATAATCTCAATAGAGAAACCCAACTTCCAAGTGGTCCACCCAAGGGGCTGGTCAATAAAAAACAGCGGAAGAGTCTAAAGACTAGGCAGCCTAGGGAAGAGCTGTCTGCACTGCTCTTTCTTTTAAAAAATTATTATTATTATTATTATTATTAATTTTAATGATAATTTACAGAGACTTTGGATTTCCATTCATTCATTGTTGCACTTTTCTCCCTGCCCATCACTCCCCCGCCCCCAGTACACTCATCTCTTTGAAAAGTAAAAGAAAAATTATTTCATTGCTTTACAATCCCTCCCCCCAGGTCCACTCCACTATGCAACCTTCGTTCTGGACTCCTATCATGACAATAATACCCAATCACATATCCCTTTTAAACAGTTCTCTCCCTCATCTGCTTCAATGTGCACTGCTCTTTCAATACAAGAAATTGTGTTAAAGCTTTTGCTTAACAAAGTTCATTCTGACTAGAAGGCTTCATAAAAAAACTGTACCCAAGAGCACAAAAATGACCCTATAGAATGAGTCCTGCTTTCCAGAATTTAACCAGTGGCTGGTACACAAAAACGGGTTTGCAGTATATCAAAATCGTCATAGCGCCCCTTCCGGGCTTGAGATGTCGGCTGCATGACGAGAGAGAAAGGAAGTGAAAAAAGTTGCAAAGCTTCAGCAAGTTTAGCTTCGGAGCTAGAGGTACTTCTAGGTCACTTGTCACAAGACATCGAAGTTCTCAAAGAAACTTGGTTGAGTGGAAAACAAACAAAAAATCTCCACCAGCAGCTCCACGGGAGAAGGATGGCAATCTTCCCATGCGATTAACTGCCTCTCAAAACCCGCCGGAGGGTCAGCTATGGATCTGTTCAGACTCGACAGTACACAACTAGATGAATACAAAATAACTTCCCCTTAGAATATAAAGCTCAAGGAATGGTAAATAATGCCCGTGTGCTAACTGAAGTTTACACATAAATTATTAACAACAAAAAATGGTGAAGTTAGCAAAAGGGCTGGGTGGAGAGGCTCTTTTACCGTTCTGCGGCCCCTGCATCGTTCTCATTAACTGAGCATCTGGGGAAGTAGGTTTTGTCTTGACTTGGAAAGGGAGAAATTGGTGCCAAGGGCAAAGCCACAAAGCCGGTTAGAGTCCAGCAGCGGACTGCTGCTTCCCGCAGACGCTCAGTCTAGAAAGTATCTTGGCTGAAAACAGGGGTGTGCGCGGAGGGAAAGCGCTCGCCGGCCCCAGCCCGGTGCCGGACTCGAGCAACTTCAATCGCGAAAGCGCGCAGCTGGGAACGAGCGAGCCGGGCCCGCGCCAAGCCAGAGCTTCCGACCGAAATAATTACCGTCTTACAGTAATTTGTGCTCCGGCGTAAATTACTACGTGAGCGCAGGGCGCTAAGTACACTCACAAAGCCCAAATCCCACACCGCAATTGTTCCAAGACCAGAGCAGACCACAGCGCGCAGGCCGGTTCGAAGCCAGTGGCGAGCGGGGAGTCCCCGGCGCAAGAAGAACACAGACGCGCAGTGAGAGTTTCCCAGCGCCAAAGTGGTAACAGGCTGGGGAGGAGTCACACAAAGCACACCGGGCAAGAACGTGGTAAAAGTCTCCCACCAATGTGGCCCACCGGCCCCTGCGCCCTCGGAAGCGCTGCCTGTCTAAAGCCCCGAAGGGCAAGATTCGACTCGGAGCTCATCAAGGTGCTCCAGCCACTCCTCGGCCCGGGCCGGGCGGGCAGACCTGCGTTTTTCACTCTGGAGGCTCCCAGCAGGTAAGTCAGTGAACGTCTAGGCACCCGGGGACCCAGCCGCGCACCCAGGCCCATCTGCAGCGAGCGGTGGAGACGTCCGCCCTGTCGCCAGCCCCTACCGGCGCCCCGCCCGGGCCACTGACCTGTCGTCGACGTGCAGGCTCGGCGAACACTTGATGGCCAGCCATGTCTTCCAGTGGACGTGGCGAACCTTGTACACCTGCCCGAAGCCGCCGGAGCCGACCTTCTCCCAGCCCGCGAACTCGCCCGCTTCGAAGGTGCGCAGCAGCCCCAGGGCCCACGGGGTCCCGCTCTCGGCCTCCATCGCGCACCTCTAGCTGCCGCCCGGCGCCGCCGCGGCCGCCCAGGTGCCCAGGTGAGCGCCCCGCCCCCGCCCTGACGCCACGTCCGGGCTGCGCCCCGCCCAGCGGCCCCGCCCGCGCCGTCCCCGCCCCTCTCCTTACAAACAGATGGAAGGGCAAGAGCCGGGAACTGCACGTCCTCCCCTGGGGCTGCGAGCGTGAGAAGTGGCCGACACTGCTGGGGGACAGTTGTCGTGCTTCTTCAATTATTTATTTAATTTTTTAAAGGTTTTTTAAAATTTTTAAATTTTATAGGTTCACATAGAAAAAATAAACTTTGTGCCCAGTGTTCTCCTAGTGGTAGAAGGAGCTGTGCTGCTAACCCGAAGGCATGAAGTTTGAGTCCTCAGCTGCTCCTCAGAAGAAAGCTGGACCATCTCCTCCCACACAATCTACAAACTCTAAAAACCCACTGGACGGTCAGCTATGTTTGTGTTCCTGCTGAACGGTACGTAACAACGGCGACATCACTACCAAGGAAGTGATTTTGTTGTTTGCAGTTTTATCACTTGGCTGATTCCAGTATCTACCATCTCAGTGAAGATAAATCATCAATTCCCTCATCCGCACTCCTCCGGCTTCCCCTTTAAAACCATAGCCCCACCCTACACACAATCCTTAACAATCACGATCTTTCCTCCATTTCTAAAATACAGTCCTTTTTAAAAGTTAGGTATACCGTTTATACATACATTTCTAGGACTAGTTTATTAACTTATTTCTTTTCATTCTGTTATTTTTCTGGAGATGTGTTCTGTTTTTTATACCTACATTTGAGTTTTGGAAGTAACTTGAGGGAGAAAAAATGACCCTTAACCAGAAGGGTTTATTCCCTCCATTCTTGGAGATCTTCACTTTTTAACCTATAAAACAAGTTGCTTGAAAAGAAAAGTAATTTTCCACTTTTGAAGGGGAAGAAGGTGTGGGAATCTCAGGTGGAATTTACTGTGTTCTTAAAGAAGACCAATCCTACATGTAAAGACTCTTAGCTTAAGAGAGTTGGGAGGTGCAATCACAGACTTATGCTACAATAAAATGTATTACTGTACAATTGTGCAAGGGACTTTATTCTTGGCCAGAAATAGTGAATAGTAGAGATGAGGGTGGCAAGATACAGCATGGAAAATGTTAACCACATTAACTGTGATTTGTGTGCTAATCATTCTAAAAAGAGAAGATTGTTATAATGGAAAGACTGAGATTTACCTTCCACAGGCTTAATATGGCATAATGATAATCTTATTTCCAAAAAACTCATTGCTTGGAGTTAGAACCAACTTATAGCTGACTCCAATGGATTTTCCAAGGCTGCAAGGAGCACAGGAGAAGAATCTTTCCCCTAGTGGAGCTGCTAGTGGATTGCAACCACGGGTGAGTTAGCAGCCGACTTCTTTAGGACCAAGTTACCAGTTATCATAGTTGTTGTTATGTGTCCTTGAGTCAGAACCTGACTCATAGCTGACCCTCCAGCAGATTTTCAGACGCAGAACATCACACTGGAGGAGATTGCCAATCTTTCTCCCACAGAACAGCTGGTGGATTCAAAAATGCCCCTTTGGGATGGCAGTGCAGATCCTTATCAGATCTCCAGAAGCCTTCAAATGTGTGAGCTCCAGGCTCAATAAACAGCTCTCTGCCCCCAGGGCAAACACCCCTGAACACCACAGTGCTCAACTGGAGGCCTTTTAGAAAGGTTAGACTGGCAGAACCTTGAACACGTAACTTTGAAATTAAATTTGTTCCTCTTGAAGCTGCTGCTTCTTGTGTGCTGTGGAGGTGGAACCGACCCATAGCTGACTCTCCAGTGGGTTTTCAAAGGCAGTAAATAGCATGGGAGGAGACAGCCCATCCTTCTCCCTCAGAGCTTCTGGTAGATTCAAAGCAGGTGCTTTTGGAATTGCAGCACAGCTTCTTACCACTAGGCGGCCAGAGATCTAATAGGGAAAAATAACTTTTAAAAACGATTATTGTCAGTTATTTTAAGCTTTGATTTTCCTTGAAGAATTTTGTTATTATTGTCATTAGGTGCCATCAAGTTGAGTACAAACCATAGCGACCCTATGAACAAATGATCTGAATCCTGTTCTATCTTGTGCCATCTTCACACTTTCTGACACACTAGAGCCCACTGTGGCAATCACCATGTCAGTCCACCTGGTCGAGGGTCTACCTCTTCTTCGTCGACCCTCCACCCTCCAAGCATCATGTCCTTCTCCAAGAAATAGCCCGTCCTAGCAACATGCCCAAAGTATGTGAGGAGAAGCATGATCATCCTTGCCTCCAAAGGGCTGCATCCTCTCCAAGACATATTTGTTTGTTCTTTTGTAGCAAATGTAAGTAGCATTAAACTAAAAAAGACATCTAAAAAGAAAAACAGTTGCCTTCAATGTTATTCCAATTCATAATGGCCCATGTGTTACAGCTGTAATCTTTATAAAAGCAGACCACCAGGCCATTCTCCTGAGGTCCTCTGGGTGGATTTGAACCTCCATCTTTTCACTTTGCAGAACTCAAGGACTAGTATGTATGTTAAGATGTTAACAATATTTTGGGTGTTGAATTTAAAGGTAACTGGAAAGTAAATTCTAGATAGAAAGTGCTAGAGAAGAATATTGAACATAGTATGGACTGCCAAGAGAGCAAATGGATCTGTCCTAGAGAGAGTGAAACCAGTTTGCTCCTGGAAGCAAGGATTTTGAAACTCTGTCTCACATATTTTGGGCATGTTGCCGGGGGAAACCAGTCCTTAGAGAAAGACATTATGCTTGAAAGGGTGGAGGATTAGGGGAGCTCTGGTGGCCTAGTGGCAAGAAGCTGCACTGCAATCCCAGAGACGCATGGTTCGAATCCACCAGATGCTCTGCCGGGAAAGGAGG